TGAGGCCACTGCTCTAGGTGCTGGTGAGGTTGCTGCTCTAGGTGCTAGTGCGTCTGCCGCCCCAGGTGCCAGTGCGTCTGCTGCCCCAGGTACCAGTGCGTCTGCTGCCCCAGGTGCTGGTGAGTCTGCCCTGTGAGGTACTACGTCAGCTCAGGCCTTCCACACCTTCACCCTTGACTCACGTGCGTCCCGCTCCTTCTTTCGAGACCGCACCACTCTTATGCCGCTCAGTCGGCCGATTGCAGTCTCCCTGGTAGACCCCTCTGGGGGTCCTGTCCTTGCTAGCTTCTCCACTGTCTTACCGTGCCCGGAAGCCCCCTCTGGCACCCTGTCAGGTCTCTACCTCCCCTCGTTCTATACAAACTTGGTGAGTGGAGCGGACCTACAGGATAGGGGGGTTGACGAGTTCACTCCTGCGAGTCAGCGAGTGACCCACTGCACGTGTGCTCGGACAGGCCAACACTTGGCCACGTTCACCCGTCGGCCAAGGTCGAGCCTGTACACCCTAACTACTGAGTCTCCTCCTGCTGCTGAGTCTGCCCAGGTAGCTGCGTCGAGTCAGGTGTTTGCTGCGGCGTCCAGGTCTGGTCCTGAGTCTGCTCCCTACGCGTGTCGTCTGCTGTCCCACAAGACTCTCCTTTGGCACCACCGCCTTGGTCACCCCTCCCTGCCTCGTCTCCGAGGCATGGCCTCTCGTGTCCTTGTCTCTAGTCTCCCTCGGTCTCTCCCTCCCCTACCTCTGGGGCCTGGCCCTACCTGCATCCTCTGCGTTTAGGGGCGATGGCGCGCCGCCCCTCACTCCTCCGAGTTTCCTCCGACAGAGGCTCCACTGCAGAATCTCCACATGGACGTGTGGGGCCCAGCCCACGTCAGTGGGCAAGGGCGCAAGCGGTACTTCCTACTGGTGGTTGACGACTACTCTCGTTACACCACAGTCTTCCACTTGCGCAGCAAGGGTGACGTCACTGAGGTGTTGATCGACTGGATCCGCGCAGCTTGTCTCCAGCTCAGAGAGAGTTTCGGCTCGGACTTTCCTTTTTTGCGTCTGCACTCGGACAGAGGCGGGGAGTTTTCCTCTGCCCGTCTGGGAGCCTTCTGTCATGCACAGGCCATCCGCCAGACCTTCACGCTTCCGGCCTCTCCACAGCAAAATGGGATTGCTGAGCGCCGCATTGGCATGGTCATGGACGTCGCTCGGACGTCCATGATGCATGCGGCTGCCCCCCATTTTCTGTGGCCGTTTGTGGTTCAGTACGCCGCGCATCAGCTCAACCTTCAGCCCCGGGTCTCCTTGCCAGAGACCTCCCCCGCCTTGCGGTGGACCAGGAAGGTTGGCGATGCGTCTGCGTTTCGGGTCTGGGGATCTCGGGCGTTTGTCCGCGACTTGTCTGCGGACAAGCTGTCCCCCCGTGCTGTTCCCTGCGTCTTCCTTGGCTTCCCCCCTGACGCGCCTGGGTGGCAGTTTTACCACCCCACCTCCCGCCGTGTTCTGTCCTCCCAGGACGTCACCTTTGACGAGTCGGTGCCTTACTACCGTCTATTCCCCTACTGCACTGCGCCTCTCCCCCCGCCGCTGCTCTTCCTTGCACCAGTTCCTCCCCCGGTAGACCCCCTCCCCCCTCAGGGTCCTGCCCCGTCAGGTGTGTCCCAGGTAGACGAAGTCGAGCCTGTCGAGGTAGCTGTTGACTCTGGTGCTACTAGAGGTGCTGAGCTTGCGGGTGCCGGGTCTGGGGGTGCTGAGACTGGGGGTGCTGAGACTGCGGGTGCTGAGTCTGGGGGTGCTGAGCCTAGGGGTGCTGGGTCTGGGGGTGCGAAGCCGGGAGATGCGGAGCCTGGCGGTGCCGAGCCTGGGGGCCCTGGGTCTACTCGTGTGGCCGCCGGTGGTACTTCGTCGAGGCGGGAGCCGCTCTCTCCACAAGAGCTGCGCGAGTGGTTTATCCGCCGCTGGAGAGATGCTGCTGAGACTGGGGGTGCTGCTGGGGCTACTAGAGTTGGTCCTGATGGAGCTGCTGGCGGTACTGGTGCTACTGGAGCTGGAGCTGCTAGGGGTGTTGGCGCTGGTGTTTCTACTGGCGCTGGTGCGTCTGGGGGTGCTGCTGAGGCTGCTGGAGCTGACGGTCCTACTGGAGTTGGTGCTCCTGGAGCTGGAGCTGCTCGGGGTGTTGGCACTGGTGCTGCTGCTGGTGCTGGTGCTTCTGAGGGTACTGGAGTTGGCGCTGCTGGAGTTGGAGGTACTGCTGGCGCTGGTGATGCCGCTGGGGGTACTAGTGCCATCCTTGCTAGTTCTGGAGGCGCTAGGCGGCCGAGGCCGTACTTCGTTCCGCTATTGGAGCACGTTCTTGGTCTTCCGCCCTCTCCTGGTCCTGCTCCTTCCTTAGAGTGTCCACAGCCTGTCCAGTCGCAGTCACAGTTACAGCCCGCCTCCCCTCTACCTGCTCCTTCTCCCTACACTGGTCCTACTGGAGGTCTTGCTGAGCGTCGTGAGCCTGCGTCTCGTCCTGCGTCGCCTGTTTGTACTGCTCGCACTAGTCACCGTGTTGCGCGTCCGCGTCCTCCTGCGGTCCCCGGCACACACCAGATGGAACTGCGTCCTTCCACCGCCCCTCTGCGTGTCCTGTTGCCGTCTCCTCCAGAGTCCTCTCTTCCTGTTCTTGCTGACCCGGAGTCTGACTCCCTTCGCGCTGCTAGTCCTTTGGTCACGCGCCTTCTTGCTACTATTATCACTGACCCTTCCTTTGAGTCCACTGCTGCGTCTACCCTAGTTGCTGAGCTTGTCGACTTCGCTTCTCGCTGTCGTCTAGACTACGCTGCTAGTCTCGTTGCTGAGTCTGAGTCTGTCTGTCCTCCGTCCGTCGGGGGTGGGTGTGCTCTTAGCACGGACGTCCTTGAGGACAGGCAGGAGCAGTTTCAGTGCTTTGTAGCTGCTTTGCCCCATCTTTTGTCCACGCTGATTGCCCCTGAGGAAGACCCGGATGCACCAAACATGCCGACTTCTCGATCGTACGCTGAGGCGATCGAGGATCCCTACTCCTCTCAGTGGCAGTCAGCCATGGATGCAGAGATGGCTTCCTGGAAGTCCAGAGGCACCTACGTCGACGAGGTTCCCCCACCTGGGGCGAGCATCGTCAGTGGTATGTGGATTTTCAGGGTGAAGTGGCCGCCGGGTTCTCCGCCTGTCTTCAAGTCACCAGCAGGGAGTTGACTACATTCATACCTTCTCTCCCACCCCGAAGATGACCACTCTTCAGGTGCTGCTGCACATAGCCGCTAAGCGCGACTACGAGCTTCACTCTCTTGACTTCAGCACAGCTTTCGTGCAGGGCAGCCTGCACGAGGAGATCTGGCTGCGCCGCCCTCCTGGCTTCACTGGGTCTGTCTCTCCTGGCACCCAGTGGAGCCTCCGGCGGCCAGTCTATGGTCTCCGCCAGGCGCCTCGTGAGCGGCAGGACACACTGAGGACTACACTTGCGGCTCTTGGGTTTGCTCCTTCTACAGCCGGCCCGTCGCTGTTTTTGCGCACCGACACCTCTTTGCCGCCGTTCTACATCCTCATGTACGTCGACGACTTGGTCTTTGCCACTGCTGACACTGCTGGACTCGCCCACGTGAAGTCCGAGCTGCAGAAGAGACACACGTGCATAGACCTGGGTGAACTGCGCAGCTACCTTGGCTTGCAGATCACCCGGGACAGAGCACAGCGCACCATTACCCTGACTCAGTCACACATGGTGCAGCAGGTCCTTCAGCGCTTCGGCTTCACGTACTCCTTGCCTCAGGCAACTCCTCTGTCTACTCGCCACTCGCTCTCAGCTCTGCCTTCGGATGAGTCCGTAGTGCCGAGTGGCCCGTACCCAGAGCTTGTTGGCTGCCTCATGTACCTGATGACTTGCACACGACCTGACCTTGCATACCCTCTTAGCATCTTGGCACGCTATGTTGCTCCTGGGAGACACAGACCAGAGCACATGGCTGCAGTGAAGAGGGTGTTGCGCTACGTGTGCAGTACGTCGGGCATGGGGCTAGTGCTTGGAGGCAACGTCGAGTGGTCTTCACAGGTCACGCAGACGCTTCTTGGGCTGACGACCAGGCTCTGCAGCGGTCGTCACAGGGTTATACCTTCGGCCTTGGCTCCGGCTCTGTTTTGTGGCGGTCTACCAGCTCCTCTTCTGTTCTCACCTCCAGCTGTGAGGCTGAGATCTACGCAGGGGCCATGGCTGCACAAGAGCTACGCTGGCTCACGTACCTGTTGACTGACCTAGGAGAGCCGCCTCCTTCTCCTCCAATTCTGTACGTAGACAACAAGGCCATGCTAGCGTTGTGTTGGGAGCACAGACTGGAGCACAGAACAAAGCATATTGCTCTCCGTTACTTCCTGGCTCGTAATCTGCACCAGCGTGGTCAGCTCCGCCTCACCTACGTGGCCTTTGAGGCCAACACTGCTGATATCTTCACCTAGGCCCTTCCGCCTTGTGATCATCAGCGCTTCTGTACTTTGCTAGGTCTTGTGCCTACCTGGCCTCACTTGCTTACTTCTTGATCTTGTTTGTACTCTACTCTTTCTATACCTGCACTTGCTTTTTTACCTTTATATATATGATCTTGCATGTGAACAGGCCTTGTGGCCTTACTCTTGTGCTCGGACTGTGTGGTGACTTTGTGATCCACCCTAAGCTTCCTTTGCTTTGCTTGACTGGTCTTGTGACCACTTGTTCTCCCCCACTTTGCCTATGGGGGTGTGTCATAACATTATAGCTTAAACATTTGTGTATGCTATAGTGGGGTAGCCCATAAGGGGTACAACCCAATTAGGGTTAGTACTTGTACCCAACTCTTTGATAGTTCAATCATTTTTCTCTCGTTCTAATCTTCACAACGACCTCATCCTCCAATCGGTCAACAACAACATGTTCCAGCACATCAAGGATTTGGTGGAGTTGGATGATTCTGGACCGAAGGCATGGAAGTTGCTACGCGACGTGATTCAGCCCAACACGCTGTCGATGGTGATTGTGTTGGAGAAGGAGTTGGCTGCCCTCTCCATGAAACCGGGAGATGATGTGAAACCGGTCCTTGACAAGATCAAGGACACCTATGCGAGGATGGCAGCGGCGGGCAGCGAGGTGTCGCAGATGCAACAGTGCACCAAGATCATCTCGGTGCTCGACAACTCGTGGGACAACCTCATCCCCACCCTCAACGTTCAGCAGGACAAATGGACACCTGAGTGGCTACAGCAGCAGATTCTGCAGGAGGACTTTCGCAGGTGCCACACGGGAGGTGGTGCTGCCAACAAAACTGCTGAGGGATATGGAGCTGCAGGAGGCAGCAGAGGAAGAGGGGGAGGGAGAGGCCAAGGCCGTGGGAGAGGCTTTGGCAGAGGGAGAGGACGCGGTGACTATAATGAGGGGCATGGGAGCTCTATTGGCAGGGGGAGCACCCAAATGGAGGGTGCGTGCTGGTACTGCAAGAAGGCTGGACACCTGTGGTTCAAGTGTTTCAGCTAGCCTGAAGGATGGGCCCCTCTAGGCATGAAGCCGCCAAGTGGTGAACGTGCACGCGGTGGCGTTGTGCAAGGTTCAGGTGCACAAGGTGATGGTGCACAAGGTAAAGCCGACCCTGGGATGTTCCTCATGGTTGAGGATGTGCAAGGGAGTGGGGGTGATGTGGGTTCAGTTGAGAAGGTTGTTATGCACCCCCTCACCCACTGGGTGATAGATTCAGGTTGCACAAGTCACATGACCCCACGGACAGATTTGTTTGACGAGGTAAAGCCCCCTGGGAAGATAAAGTTTGTGGCTACCGCTTCAGGTGCTTTGCTCCCTGTGATTGGTGTGGGGAATGCCAAGGTAATGGGAGCCAATGGGGGGCTTGTGGGGCTGGGGAATATGCTGTTGGTTAAAGGTTTGTCCGCTAACCTTCTTTCCGTGCGTCGGCTGCAGAAAAGCAAGGCCAAAGTGACTTTCGGCCCAACCAGCTACCGTGCAAAGCTCGGAAAGTTGCTGCTGTGGAACTTGGAGGAGAAGAGCAGTTGCATCAAGGACCTGTGGCAGCTGCCCATCATCCCTTGGAAGGGGAAACCACCAGCAACGGCAAAGGCAGCGGCAGCGGCTAAAGCAACTGCGGGAGGAGAGGAGACTGCACCAGCTGCTGGGGCCCTGGATGCAGTCAAGAAGGTGCAGCAGCCACATCAGCCACATTGTGAGGTGCTTGCTGGTGTGGATGCGACAGATGCATGGGCAAGGGCTTCATCTGGGAGTGGTGAGGCTGATTGGGAGACGTGGCATGAGAGGCTGTGCCATGTGAACATTCCTATGAAGGGGCTTGAAGGGGCTGGAGGTGAAGGGGGGAGCAAAGGAGATTGGGAGCTGCCCTACCTGCCTTGAGACCAAATTCACGAAGTTTCCCTTCAGCAGCAGCACAGGACCAGCCAAGGCACCACTTGCACTTGTGCACATGGATGTGGTGCGGCCTACGAGGGCCCTTTCTCTCTCGGGCAGCCGCTATTTTCTTACCATTGTGGACGACCATACGCGTGCGTTGTGGGTGTACCCTCTCAAGACGAAGGGGGAGGTGGCAACGGCTGTTCTCAAGGAGTGGATCCCGAGAGCTCAAAGGGAGAGCGGTCAATGGAGTAGAATTCATTGGCGCTGATTTTGAGGCGGTGCTGAAGAAGAAGGGGATCCAGCATCAGCTTACGGTGCCCTACAACCCTCAGCAGAACGGCGTGGCTGAGCAGTTCAACCGGACTCTGCAAGAAGGTGCTCGAACTCTCCTTGGGCGTGCAGGGCTTCCGGATCCGTTTTGGGTGACTGCACTGCGGCAGGTCGCCCTTGTGAAGAACAGGGTGCTGGCAACTGTGGGGGACAAGCAGTGGGTCCCCTATACCAAGAGGTATGGGAGTGCACCAGCAGTCAACATGCTGAGAGCCTTTGGGTGCATGGTGGTGTTTCATGTGCCTAAGGAGAAGAGGGGAAAGTTGGAGGCTTCTGGGAGATGGGGTGTGCACTTGGGGCTTGCTAAGGATCACAAGGGCTGGCTGATTTGGGACTTGACCAGCCAGTAGCTGATTGTGTCAAGGGATGTGAAGTTCCTTGAATCCTTGTACTATGAGTGGAAGCAGCAGCAGCATAAGCTTCCTACTACACCGCTGATCATTGAGGCCGATGCGGTGCAGCGGCCTTCGAAACAAGTGCAGGTTACTGTCTTAGAGGAGGAGATCTCTGGGGTGACTGAGGATGAGGGAGAACCTGAGGTAGAGGAGCAACAGCAGCAGCAGCAAGGTGCTCCACAAGGTACCGCACGTCGGCTGACCGTCCTAGGAGGGATGTGCGCCCTCCTAACCGGCTGACCTATCCGAGCTTTGGCAAGCCAAAGGTGGTAAGGGCTGGGAGTCTGGCTGAGCAGTGTGATGAGGATGAGATAGCACACTGCTAAAGGGCAGCCGTTCCTGAGCCCAAGACGCTAGCTGAAGCATTGAGCGGGCCGGATGCTGAAAAATGGAAGCAGAATGCGGATGATTATGAATCTCTGCTGGAGAACAAGACGTGGGAGCTGTGTGAGCTGCCACCTGGGAAGAAGGCCATTTCTTCCAAGCTGATCTTCAGGCATAAGTACGGACCAGATGGGGAGCTGACCCGCTATAAGTCAAGGCTTGTGGCTAAGGGGTTTCAGCAGACAAAGGGGAAGGATTTTGACGAGATCTTTGCTCTTGTGGGGAAAGGCACAACATTGAAAGTTTCACTGGCAATGGCAGCAAACCGTGGATGGCGGGTGAAGCAGATGGACATCACCACCGCCTTCCTCAATGGGATCATTCTGGAGGAGCTGTACATGTTACAGCCTGAGGGTTTGGATGATGGGAGCGGCAGGGTGTGCAGGCTGAAGAAGGCCATCTATAGCCTGAAGCAAGCTCCTCATGCATGGTACCGCAAGCTAGAGGAGACACTGCTGGCTGGGGGGTTCAAGAAGAGTGAGTGTGACCACAGCTTGTTCCTGCTGCAAGAGAAGGAGCAGTTTCTCATGCTCCTGGTGTATGTGGACGACATCCTGCTCTTCTCTGAGTCGTCTGCAATGATTGAGCGTGTGGAGGAGATGCTGGAGATGTAGTTCAAGTGTTCCAAGATGGGAGATGTGAAGTACTACCTGGGGATGCATGTGGAGAGGGACCTTGACAAGGGAGTGTTGAGGTTGCACCAGAGGAAGTACTGTGAGGGGCTGGCCGAGAAGTAAGGGCTGCAAAATGGAGGGAAGCCAGCCACCCCACTGCCTTCGGGGTTCACTATGGAGCCCTGTGCTGATAAGGAGGTGGTGGGTGAGAGTGACAGGAAGCTGTTTCATTCCATGGTGGGGGCACTCAATTATGCGGCTAACCACACGCGGCCTAACATTGCCTTTGCAACATCCGGGCTTGCAAGTGTGGTTGCACGCCCCAGTCATGAGCAGCTGGAAGCGGCCAAGAGGTTGGTCCGCTATGTGAGCGCTACGGCATCAGTGGCTTGGAGTACAGTGCTGTGCGTCAGAGGCTGCAGAGGGGTGCAGCTGATTTGGGCAAGGGGGGGATGCTCCTGACTTACTACACCGACGCCAGCTTCAACTCTGTGAAGGCGGATGGCACCAGCATTGGAGGCTATGTATGCCTGTTTGGAGGAGGTGCAGTGAGCTGGCGCAGCAAGAAGCAGAACGAGGTGGGGCAGTCCTCGTGTGAGATGGAGTACATGGCCCTGCATCATGGGGCAAAGGAGGTGGTGTGGCTGAGGCGTTTGTTGGAGGAGATCGGAGTGTGCCAGTGGGAGCCGACTGTCATTTTCTGTGACAATGAGTCGGCGGTGAAGCTAGCAAAGAATGCTTGTCTTCATGGGCTAATCAAACACATCAGGCCTAAGAGGCACTGGGTGAGGAGGCTCCTGGACAAGGAGGTGTGGCTGGAGATTGTGAAGACCCATCAGCAGGCGGCTGACATTCTTACCAAGCGTCTGGTTGAATCTGAGCATTGGAAGGGCATGAAACTTGCTGGGATGAGTGTGCATTGAGGGTGCATGCTTGAAATATGGCATGTGGGATGATGGTTGGCAGCCAGAGGGGGAGTTTGTTGTGTGATGCAATCATATGCATTCACGTCTGTCTGCCTCCCATCATATGTTCGTGCGTTGCATGCGTGGTGTGAGCGTGTGCAAGAAATTGTATTTTGTGTGGTTTGAATTTTCTGAGTGTGTGCAAATGTTTTTTTACTTGAGCAGATATCTGAAGTGACTCCTCTGCTCAAGAGCTTTCCGACGAACCAAGTATCGCTTCAATCGGAGCACGAACAAGAAAGTTGCGTCTGAGGCAGGGCGCGGCTGCGTCAGAGGCAGGGCGGGGCCGCGTCGGCTGCAAGGCGCGGCCACATCAGAGGCAGGGCGCGGCCGCGTCGAAAGCAAGGTGCGGCCGCGTCAGAGGTTGGGCGTGGCCGCGTCAGAGGCAGGGCAGGGCCGCGTCGGCTGCAGGGGGCGGCCGCGTTGGCTGCAGGGCGCGGCCGCGTCGAAGGCAGGGCGCGGCCGCGTCGAAGGCAGGGCGCGGCCGCGTCAGAGGCTGGGCGCGGCCGCGTCAGAGGCAGGGCGGGGCCGCGTCAGAGGCAGGGCGGGGCCACGTCGGCTGCAGGGCGCGGCCGCGTCGAAGGAAGGGCGAGGCCGCGTCGAAGGTAGGGCGCGGCCGCGTAAGAGGCTGGGCGCGGCCGCCTCAGAGGCAGTGCGGGGCCGCGTCGGCTGCAGGGCGCGGCTGCGTCAGAGGCACGGCGTGGCCGCGTAAGAGGCAAGGCGGGGCCACATCGGCTGCAGGGCGCGGCCACGTCGAAGGCAAGGCGGGGCCGCATCAGAGGCTGGGCGCGGCCGCGTTAGAGGCAGGGCGGGGCCGCGCTCTGGCCTGACAGGCCTGCAGGGGCGTCTTGCGGGCCTGCAGAGGCGGCTCGTGAGCGTGACGGGCCTGTAGGGGCAGCGCGTGAGCCTTACAAGCCTGCAGGAGCGGCGCGCTGGCCTTACGGGCCTGCAGGGGCGGCGCGCTGGCCTAGGGCAGCAGGAGGCAGCGCGAGGGCTGCAGGACGGTGCGCGCAGCGCAGCACGTCACAAGACAGGGCAGGCAAGCAGGTGCTGTACAAAATGTGGGTTAGCGCGGTAACCGCAACGGTAGGTGGGCCCAAAAAATAAGATGGTCCTACGGACCTAGTGCTCTGATACCATGTTAAATCTAGCAGCAGGAGTGATTAAACTATGAAAGAGTTGGGTTCAAATATGAAACCCTAAAGTGGGCTATACCCCATATTGGCTACCCCACTACAGCCTAAACATAAATAGCAGATATAACATTTGACAGTTTAATAGTGGCGTTTTCCACCTCCTTGGTTGCTTTACCGTATACCTTACAGTTGCATCAGTGTATAGTTTTTGTTGGGATAGCGACGGAAAAGTCACTTCGCAAGTGACTTGAGCTACAACTGCTTTTTACTAAGACTTTTTTTTTTGCAAGCGGAATGCAACGGAAAAGTTACAGGGCGG